TATCAACGACCACCTACCAGGGGTACTAGAAGGAACCAAAAAGGATGGATAGGGAAGGCAACCGCCAGGGGGTTGGCAGGCGGCTTTACTTGGGTTTAAAAGCTTTTTTATTTAGACTGTCTTCTGTGGGATATATGGCGTTTACAGTTAGATTCTAGGCTCCTAAGCACCTGCATAGCTAGACGTTCAGTAGTTAGTCTCTACCAGGTTAATAGAATCTTGATTGATTGATTGATTGATTGATTGACAGAACCAGGGAAGCTCTTATCACACCAATTTATCTCTGCCTAATTAACTGAATAGTCTTTGGTGAGCTTCTTCAAAGGATAGGTGATTAAGTGGCTCGATATCATCAAAGAAAATATAATCAAATAGACCATTTGAGAACACTCTTTCCAGATCTTGCCTTTTCCAACCTTGTTTCTGACCAATCTTTGCAAGTACAGTATTAAATTGGCGAATTGCATCGTCATAGCACTCGGTTTTGAGATACTCGCAGAAGGGCTTGTCATCCACTTTGAGTTGTTGCCTGAATAAGAGATGCCGTTAGACAAATATTCTGGAACGAGACGTTGCTGTAGTGCGACAGTGCGAGGACGGTAACCCACCATTCTTTCGCCCAATGGGGCCGGATGTTGAGCTTTTGCCCATTCCATTCTCTCAGCTCCATCCATTTGTCGAGGACCTCTTGCGCAAATGCATCCCAATACTCGGTTACCGATTCTAGCGTCAAGACCTCAATTGAGGCTGTTCCGAGACGATTTCCGCGCTGAGGCGCCATCAGCACATTGCTATCGCCCATGATTCGCAGCTCGAGAGGCAGGCGCATTGGGCACTTGTCTGTGTGTTCATACGCCTTAATTATTGCTTCCCACCAGGCGTGTTGGGCAATGGTGAAGTCGGGTTTATCGAGGTTATCGGGTTGATGAGGGAGCTGCAACATGTATAGTCAGCGAATGACTGATCCGGGGACTAGACGACGAATACTATAGAAGAATAATGAGAGAAAATACAAGTTGATCATCTTACGGGTATCTCAAGTTCCATATCTCGGACACGCGTGTTTTGAATCGCTCTTCTGAAGTGAAGCGCATCTGGGAGCCAAGCCTTGATTTTTTGCCGGCAGGCAGGGAAGCCATGCCTAGTCTCGCTGTATTTCATAGGATTAGGTGGATCTCTCGAGCACACGAGTGCCGGGTTGGAAGCTGTACTTACAAACTGCAGTAGTCCTTAACAATGGCAGTATTTCCACAGTATTTGTGTCTTTGGCGAGGTATTGTAGAGCTCTATAGCAACAGCCTGAAGCCATTGCACTACAATTTCTTCATTATCTGGATAGCTCTGCACGCCTCGAGGGTCTGGAGTAGTGGACCATGTATTGATCCAAACTTCGTCAGAATAGGGGAACCAGAACCACTCTGCGTAGTACTCCTCGGCAGCCTTCTTCTCGAATTCCTCTTGGGAACGCCGGATCTGCTCGGGCGTACGAGGCTGGTTGAGCGGTGCAGGGACGCGCGACCGAAGGCTGTCCGGAGGCGGTATGGCATCGATCGCGGCCTGCTTCTGAGGTGCCATGGCCGCGTATGTCATCTTGTCTACTACGAGGGTGATATGGGTGACGACCCCGATCAACCCAAAGCAACCGCTGGCTGCAGAGAGAAAGTCGTCATCGGCTCGGGTGATGACCTGCAGCTTACCATGCACATCCACATACTCGATGGCATAGACGAGGTCACTTAGTGTCTTATGTCTGATCCCGGCTCCGTGGCTAGGTGAATATCAGCGTGTGTGGCTTGCTTTCGTCTTCAGAAAACGGGATTTATGTCACATACCAGATCGGACCATTGCTACCACCAAAGGTAATCTCTACCATAATCACATTAAGGGGTAACGTTACGCGCTTTGTCTTTACACACCAGTATCGAAACTGCTCGTTGGTTGTCGCGCAGCCCACCCGGACTAGTGACTTCGTCGGATCTTCTTTCAAAGGGCCTAGCTCCGTGATTGAATTGAGTAATGTAGGTTTGTCCCCGAAAAGAATGGGACAGAGAGGATCAAGGGATTCCACATTAGGAAGTTGTGCTGCCTGGTGTAGACTCAGAGTAGATATGAGTATACATCCCTTGTCACGAGCAAAAACAGGTGACCAAGAATGGCCTAGAAAAGTGTTAATTCAGTCATCATATAAAGCTCTACCCAAGAGACACGTACGATAGCCAGACACGCGAACTCCCAGGTTGTTATTTGTGGCATATAGAACGATTTGCTGTATTGCGTAATTTGTCTTCGGGACGCATGTGTAAACGGGCTGGTTCTCGATGGTTCGTCCCCAGTTACAGAACTCAGCGCCCTCATAAGTCTGTCGTGTTATTAGCAACTTGAGATCTGGAAATATGGGGGAATGGGGTGCAGAATACCAGAACTGGTGTTGAGCGCTGGGGATCCTCAAAGAGGCCTATATTAACTGTCTCTGGTGGCAGCTCAGCGCGTAGGTGGAACAGTTTCTCCAGCTTGTTCTTGAACCTCTGTTCCCAAGGTTCTCGGCCACCTTCGATGTCTTGGGGGAGAGGAAGTTGAACCTGATTTGCGTTCTCCATATTTTGGAAACCCTCACGGGTGGCTCTGCTGCAGCCGAAGTCAAAAAGGCGAGCAATTTCGTGCACCCTGGAGTTTGTAGTGAACGCTTCGAGCATTTTACTCTGGTTGGGAGTACATGTTCCGAGCAGGTGCGTCCATAGATCTTCACGAGTCATTTTAAAGCTCTTGATTATCTGGCGAATGAAATCTTCATCTAGCACTTCGCTATCTTCTGCCCAGTTCTTCTCAAAGAGGGAATTTGGGATATTTGGGTTGGCGACTGGATCCTCGACCAGATCTTGTATCAGCCTGCGAAAGAGGTCAACCCGTTCCTGGGCTGGTGGTGCAGTCTGCGCTTTGGAGAAAGCATCCTTTACAGAGCTGGGTTTACCGCCGCTGGAATCCATGACTAGGTTTTAAAGAAATTACTTGAGTGAAGCCTAGAGAAGGCAAAAAGGTCTTGATTGAATGCTATGTTCACCAATGTCTGGTGTGGTCGTCTAGAGTTCCGTCAGCGCAGTGATCACGTCGAATCTCAAAGTATAGATATATAAATGGTAGAGCAACGCAGACAAAGAAGGACCAAAGGATCCAACATACATCCATGACATAATCCGAAGTTGTAGATGGCAAATTCTGATCATGAGATCTAGATCAGAGCTCAACAAGTAGCAGAGCAAATGCAGACAGAGAAGGATACAATGACAAAACTTCCACCCATGATGTAGTTGAAATTTGCATGCTGAAGGCTGATCATGAGACCTAGTGCAGACATTTGGTAGGAGAGTGCCCAGATATCCGCATTCGTCAAGTCATGAACCATAATGCAATTATTAAGCTGATCACTTGGCCAACTTTGAAAAATCAAAAGAATTATTGGGCTGAAATAATCTGGAGCTTTGAGACAAGTTTGCCACTGCATATCACCAGCCACTGAAAAGGTAGGTTAGAGATTATGGTAAGATTTCCGTGGAACCCGTTCCCGAGGACCACCCTAAGCTTTACTCAGACATATTACATGACCATTGCAACGCAACTGCCGCAAGCGGATGGCTGTGATAGAGTCTTCACATATTGAGTGCTCAGATCATCTTGGTCGGTCGTATAGACTGCCCCAGAGAACAGAAGAATCACACCACTCACATGCAGCTGTGGGACAACGTATTACAATGTTCGGTCCTACAGCGCCCTTGCCAGGTGACCCCCGACTACAAGAACGGCTGTGCAGAATGATCGAGGGAATAAGAAGGCTTTCAAAGAAGGTTATGGGTATCCCAAATAAATATACTTTGGCGAGGGGCAGCCAGATGAATAATCACCCAGATGTACGGGCTCCAGACGAGAGATATAGCAGAATCACTTAATCTCAGAGGGGCAATCCAGAGCATGGTTTTGGTGAGACAGGCCAAAATATGAATAGTGCCGCACAGAAGGGGAGGCTTTATTATCAAATTAGGCCTAAAGGCTAGCAGCAAGCTGAGAACATTCTACGTTATGTATGCTATGTTCTAGGTAATCAAGACGATCTGTACATCTTGGCTGGATCCGGTTCAAAGGCGAGGAGACGGGAACATGTATTTACGAGACGAAACGCATTAGTATCTCTTAATCTTGCCAAACGATACGGAATACTAAGTTTCAGCCCTCTCTCCATTAAACGATCCATCACTTGACTGGATGAGCAGCTGGACGAAAATATTGGAATGACACTTGGACCGCCAGAAGAAGTCTTTAGGCCACAGAAGCTCCCTACTTCAGTGGCCAGGTGAGTATTTGCGCTGACTAGAAGCTTACCCAAAGCTGCATAGCAAGATTCTCCATCATCCTAGCTTAAGTCCCAATATGGAGCGATCTGCCTAGACTAAGCTTGTTAATTGCGGTCGTTTTGTGATCGAGATCATAGCTGTATCGGACCCATCTGTTGATCGTTGCGACAGCACAAATTCCTTGTTCCGTTGTGCTGAGTAAACGAGGTCAAGCACTGGGCAGAAGCTCTATGGAGGCTCCAGCAAATAGCCGCACTGCTTGAAACATCGGGTTTAGAATTTGCCATACCTATTTGTTTCCATGGTCATAGGTATCGTAACGTACAGGCCAGAAGTAGTCGGTGTAAAGGATGTTCTAGAATGGCCGGCAATCCATATCTGCAACTCATATGTTCTTGGAAGGGAGATTGAATCTTTCATTTGTAATGATTGACAGGCTGGGTGATTCAAATACCCGTGGCAACACTCACTCTTGCGACTTTTAATAGGCTAGCGTCGTTGCTCGTCCACTACAACACCAAGCTAGATTATATCTACAAAGAGCGTGAGAACCGACTCACGCCTATCGAGTAAGTCGTTATTCCTCAAGAGGAGGCAGATGACCTCAACCTGCCGTCGGCCACCGATGAGCAGATTGAACGACTCACGGAGTACTATCTTATTTGGAGTTGTTAGGCAACTGACGATCTACCCTTACATAATACGGTTGATAAAAAGATCCGAAATTTGAGAAGGCGGGTATGGCGGACGATTTGTACCGCAAGCTTGCTTTCGTCCCTAACATCATGGAGGATATGCCTATAGTAACACTTCTCGTCAATCAAAGAGACGCAAGGACAGCTTTTTAGCTAGTCCTATTACTGGATCGGCTTGTTGGCAAGTTTATATAATAAGAAGCTTAGGATCTCTGCATATCGGCAAGCCAGCATTCAATACAATGGAATACTTGCGAACCAACCCGTGAGCGAGCCTGACTGGTTGGGTACAAGGAGTAAAATATATGATACATACATTCAGTGGGCTAATCGCATCAATATAAGGTGTTAGAGAGCCAAATTATGTGTGGAGTTAGGAAAAAGGAGAGCTAGTTTGACCACACAACAGGCATTCGTCACAATAGGTTCTATTGTGTCTTAAGGAGGGATTGCTTTTCTGTCTTCATGAATGTCCCATACCGGAGGCTATACGGCTTGGTATATGTAAGATTCAGATTGGCTAGATATTAGTACAACTATCAAGCATCTTTATATCTTGAGCTAAACGCTCCTGTAGGACCAATTAATCCAGCAATAAGACATTCAACAAGCTCAAATCAAAAGCTTTTAGATGCGCAAAATCTTCATCTCCAGGCTTCAAGTCGGTAAACGAGCTCAGTTAGTTAAGCACCCACTCATGTTGCCAATATACCAATTATGAGCCGCAAGGTCCATTCCTTCCGTGCCAAGGTTCCCATTCTTGTTGTCAATGCCCCAAATTACTTCGACATCACTTTCCGTGACTGGCTGGTCATTTCCTGAAGTGATCCAGAATTCTGGAGATGTTGTGCTGTACTGCCAAGTCCTATTAACCAAAGGGGTAGTAGAGAAGGCCCTTGGAACTGGATCGTCTGAATGTGTTACTCTATATCCACGGCCTACTGTATTATCACTGATAAACCCCGCGAAAGTATGATTCCCTAATTGAGGGCAACCAAAGGTATACTGCCCTTACATTAGCATGGGGGTTATTTTACAGTTGTGGAAATACTTACCAGATTAATGGGTCTATTGTTAACAGTCCCCTCAAGTACTGCACCAAGTGTAGCTAGTGCACCTCCAAGACTATGACCTGTGAAGACAATAGAATACTGCGGATATTGAGCAGAAAGCTGCCTAACGCGTGGCATTATGTATTGTGAGAAGTTTCCCCAGGCATAATAATAACCATGATGCACATAGCAGCCTGCACCACAAATGCCATAGATAGGCACCTGTTCATATTCAAGGTCGGTTACCGTATTGCCTGGAGTCCGGGTACCACGGAATGACAGAATGATCAATCCATTTGTGTTGTCCACTGCCAGAAAGCCAGTGGTATTGCCTGGATAGTGGCTATTTTGACATTAGCTTATAAGTTCATGTCTGGTCGACGCGATCATACCCCATGAATCCAGTAATGACTTGTGTGTCTAGCTGCTGCAAAATTGGGCATACACCTGGATCGCAGACGACCTTTGACCCGTGGGAGTCAAAGTTTGCTGCACAAGTAGCAGCAGCAGAATATTCAGAAAACACCGTGAACCAGGTCAAAATTTCAGGAGGAACACCTGGGTAAGATGTTAATCTTAGAAGATCTGTAATGCTATTTCACTGACCTCGGCGTTCAAGATGAATATCTGCAGCGGCATTGTCCACCCCAAAGAGGGGAACAGGAGACTGCAAAGTATTACAGTTGCAGTGAGCATTTTGGGCTGAAGAGGGTGATGAAGGCAAGTGAATTTGGAGGAACGGTAAAGTAACGGCGAGAATACCCATCCCAGGGGGGCATATATGCGTGGGTTCAAGGCTCAGAATGAACGTCACAGCTAGATCACAGCACATCAGCACTTTGATCTCTTTAACATTCCATGGAGACATTGTCCTTTAATTTCCGGTGTTCTCCGGATGGGCATATTCAACCCAAATTGCAATAAGCTTTACTGCTAAGCTGTCTCCTGCTGTTTTCAGTAAAAGCATTTGCCAACTGTGAAAGTCGGATTTGACCAATCAGCAAATTGAGTTGCTCCCATGGTTCAACCCATTGATTTGAAATGATTTTACATAGTCACATTTCCTGTGGTAAATCAGAACAACTGGCACGGATGGTCATACTATAGTGATGATGTGTATTGGTGTCGATCGAACCGACTATGTAGTGACTCTTACCTATATTCTTAACCAGAACTTATTAATCTATCTTGTTTATATTATCTTAACATAGATCTAGTGTGTATAGAGTGGTACGGTTTAACCGGAAACCTGGCCCCGAACGCACCCCAACCCGGCTCCCGGTTCGAGTCGGGTCCTAGATCTAGAATCCGCCCCAGGTTTTGGGTTCTAAAGCCAAAACCCATCCCAAACCCAGAAACCCGAGCGGTAGACTGCGGCATATCCGCTCCAATAGATATGAGATCTAATACTATATTTGTAAATTATAGATAGTAAATATAGCTTTAATATATTATTCTTAATAAAACTAGAGTAGATTAAATTAT